ATTCAAGCAATAATATAATGATGGTACCAAGGGAGAAATGGTGAAAGATCCTTCTGTCAGTTAGACTTGCCAAATTTAGGTCACCATTGATCTGAACCATGAAGAACAAATATAACACTTGTCAAGATATATGAAGAAAAAGTGAGCATTCCTGGCAGAAAGAATAACATATATGAACATTTAAACTATGAATTCTGTGATATTATTTAATTTTACTTTTCTAGTTATATTTCTTCCCTAGGCTTCCAAGTTGCCTTTCTACCTCTCTGATGGACTTCTCCAGCAGGACAGCTGGGCAGCTCTCAAAATGAACACTTTCTCTGCCCCCTCTGCCACCTTCTTCTCTACATCTGCTTTCAGTTAATGACAAGCTCAGTTTTCCAATCATCTAGTGATTTTTGGACATAGCTTGAACTTCATCTCACCCTCTCTTTATAATAAGTTATTCATTATTATGAAATTTTCATCTTAATGTTTCTTTCATCTATTCCTGCCTTTCCTTTCCTTTCAAACTACATCTATCAATTCACTTACTCATTTTTTTTAGAAAGTACTTATAGAATGCCTTCTTCAGCTCTCTTAAGGTAGTTTTCTAGAGCAAGAGTAATGAACCAACCAAGGAAATTGCCTACATTCATGACTTTTCATTTCATAATAACCAAGTGAACAAATACGGGTATGGATACATTCTGGGCAGAAATATCACATCTTCAGCATGGTTTTCTTTTGATAGGTTGGCCAGCGAAAACAGGATGGTGAGAACAGGAGGAACATCAATTAAGAGACTATGGAAGTTGATTCATGGCCATGTAGGCTAGTAAGCATCTTTAAGTATGTGCCTATATGTGCATAGCAGCACTGTACTAGGCCCTGAGCATGCCATGAGAAGGATACATAGAGCAATCATGGGGTTTATCACAAATAAATGGTAGGTATATTGCTTCTCCCCATTCTTCCTTTTGATATTTTCCTGCCAGAGTCAACTTCAAGAATTCTAAAGAAGTCTTGACATTAAAAAAAAAAAAAAAAGAAGTCTTGACATTGAGCAGATGCTGAAGATGTACAAGGAATTTACAAACTCACTTTAAAAAGATTTGATAAATACATAATTCCTTTGAATATCGATGGATAAAATGCAAGATGAAAATGTCATTATTAGATGGGAACATTAATGTCATAGAGGTTTACTACTTTTTTTTTTTAACCAAAGAGTCAAGGTCCCAAAAGACCAGTCTAGCTTGTAAAATGCTGAGAAAATATTTCATTAAATGAATTCTGACAAGTGACCCCACAAAAATAACGTTGACCATAAACTTCACAAAAAGCTTTTTGGAGAACAAGTACATTTTATGAAAATTTATATAAAGAAAATAAACCCCTTCTCCATATGTGAAATCTTGGATGATTCCTTCCCATGTCAGTTTCTTCCTCTCTCCATACTAATCCACCCATTCTGTAATGCAGAGCAGAACCTTTTGTAGAAAAGATGGAGAGAGTGGGCCCTCACAGGTGTCTTCCATCTCAACTTTGGACTTTTTTTTTTTTCTTTAAAAGTTTATCTAGTGTTCTTTTTTCCCTTTCTTTCTTCCTTATTTTAGAGTCTTAGCATTTAGGACATATACAACTAATCTGAATAAATTCTACATAGACAAAGGAATTTCTGACATCTTGACAACAAATATGGAGGTTTGAGCCACTAGTTTTTCTGAATATTAATTGTCCATGTGTAAGACAAATGTCAAACTTACATACATAAAAAAAGGTGAACTCTAGATATGTAATCATATTCTAATCATAAAAAGACCTTAAAACATTCGCAAGGAAATGCAAGTTATTTTTGAAAGGCACTGTGTATGGGTAAAATATATAAAATGTTAGAGGCTTTTAAGAGGATTTAAGGAGTGAAATGACAGAGGAGGTCAGACTCAGTCAGGTGTGGAATATCCAAGAGCTTTAAAGCACCTGCTTTAAGAAAAGAACAAACACAACTCATTCTAATTCCAGTTGAGCATCCTCTTTTTAAAGTTTCCCCAGCAAGGAGTAGCACTTCTTCATCTGGCCAGCAGCCTGAGGAAAACCATCAGGATCTGAGAGGAGGCATGTACCTCAGAGCCCACTCTGTTCCCTTGGGCTCCAGGCTGTCACCTCCTTTGTCCACACCGGAAGAAGGGGGGGTGCCTGTGACACTTCGCAATTCCTATCCTCTCTAGCTGATTCCCTTATACATGAGGTTAAGAAGCCCAGTCCAAGTGTGTCTCTAAGAACTACTCTTACCTGAGGATCCCACATCCCAAATCCATCTGTTTGGGACTGGTAACAGATTATCTTATCTGGACATCTGGAAGGGCAGACACCATAGTGGCCAAACATACAACCATAAATTGTAATCCAGAAATGGTCACTAGAGATTACTGAGGCCAACCCTTATTTTATGAATGAAACAACTGAAACCTAAAGCAGTAGAATGATTTATTCTATACCCCATACTAACTTATTCACATTTTAAAATTCAACTCTTTAGCGCTTGCTGCACTGCATTACCCTGTCTGCCACATTTTCCTGTAAACAAACTACCAGAGAAGATTCATTTCTGAAATAAAACCCTTCCACTGGCAACATTTTAAGGAACACGAAAACATTTAAATAATAAAACACCATGAAAGCCACAGTAATGTGATTTATTTACACAAGAGCAATGGCCAATACAGGAAAATCCCTTGCTGCTGTCCTTTATTTCTAACTGTACTAGAACACCTATCATGCTGTATATAATACTCTTTCAATTTTCCCATACTTGGCTGCTAGGTCATCAAGGGCATATCTTATTAATTCATAAATCCCTGGCATTCAATACATGTGTGGTGCATAAATGAATGGGTAGATACCTGCATGAATGCATGAAAAGTTTGAGGAGCAAGACTGCATATGGAGATAGATCCATGCTGTGAGGACCAGTAAAAGCCAGACTTAAGTTCTTGCATTTGATGTGCCGAGACATAGAACATCACTGAGGTTTTGAAATAATGAAGAGATTTGATGAAAGTAATGTTTAAGAACAAATCGGGTGATCATATGGAAAGTAGATTTAGAGGACATAGTATCAGGAAGGCTACATGGCTCAAATTCTACTAGAACACATCCAGTCGGAAGAGGGGGATTACAAAGAAACAAAAACAATCAAGTCTAAGAATGCTACTATTGCATAATACATGAACGATGTCAAAGTACTAAAAACCATTTTTTGACTCACATCTTTAAAAACACAACTCAGAAATCACTTTCTCACAGGAGCAATCCATGGTCTCAGGCAGAGCTTCTCCACTGATATACCAGAGATCAGTTCCAGGTATGTCTAGCGCTTCAGCCCTCGGGTCCCCTGGGGAGCCGAGGGTGGAGAGAGACCCATGGCCAGTCGCTTCTGACTGTAAGAAGTCTTGACCATTTACTAAGCTATACAAATATTCTCACCTCTATGAATGCATGACATGAAAATTTTCAAAAGCACCATCAAGCCCAATTATTTTCCCCTCTATTGTCGTTTAACTCCTGATGTAATGAATTATTCAAACAGTACCACTTTAGGCAAAGGATGAAACAGATTTGAAAAGATTACTTGTACCTGTAGCATATTCCATTCCAATAAATGTCAATGGAGCAAGGTATCACAGTCGGAATTGGGTAAAACTTGGTGTTCAACAATGCAGAACCAACCTGCGTGGCTGTTTGAACACCTCATCATAATTTCTCTGTCCTGAGAATATGGTTTTTTTTTTCCTTTTCCATTATGGAGGTACATATAAAATAATGCTTTGGAATATAGGAGGTTATATTACAATGTTTACTTATTACTTCATTATGTTGTGGCTTTTTAAGTTGTATTTTTAAGTTTTAGAACAGTATTTAGTATTACATATAAAAACTTCATAAGTAAACATATATATCCAAAAATAGAGAGGTCCTGAAAAGTTTTTACTGCTGAAATATGCAATCAAAATTTTGAGAACTGTTGACTTACATTCTTTCTCCCATAGATACTATGTGAGTTTCCCCAAGGAGTTCCCAGGAGAGGAAAATAAAACTGACCAGAAATGGCTCAGATTGAAGCAAATACAAATTTCATTTTGCTTCTTTGGTCCAATGAGTTCACATCTACAAATGACTGCTCTCGTTTACCAAAGATACTTTCACCCAATGATACACATTTACTGACTATACTTATAATATGTCCCCTCATTTATTGAATACACTATTTTTACCACATACAAATATTACATCATTAATTTGGGAGTACCTATTTCACTTGGGCCCTTGATGCTTCCAGCTTGCTTTTAAATCTCCAATTTCTTTTCCCTCTTTGGTGCTAGAGATATTATTATTGCAATTTCCTCTTTTTGTGCTGTCTTAATATTTGTTATATAATTTTCTAAACTTTTTCAGCACTAACTATATAGAAGAAACTGCTGAGTGCTCTGACTCAATGTCATTTGGTTCTCCCCACCACAGATGTGGTGCTATGATGTGCTGTTGGTTATCCACTTTTTATAAAGAGAATTGAGGCTGAGAGAGGCTTAGTAATTGCCCAGATTCATACAAATAGCAAGTGATAGAGTAGAGAAATAAACAAAGTCGTTGTTTGACTTATATAAATATTACTGTGAACCACTTCAATTCTCCTAGAAACATTGAGATTTTAATATAGTAGGTGATGGAAATCTCAAAAAGGAATATGTTTGGGACACTTTGCCAAATTAGGAGATAAATAACTTGTATTTGGTTAAAGACAAAGGGAGATTACTTAGTGAAGGCCTGTGGAGCAGTGTGGACAAAGAATCAGAAGGCCAAAGGAGAACCAGTAACAATAACAATTGATAGTTATAAGGCAGACAGACAAATTATAAAAAACAGTCATGATAATATTTCACAAGGTGTGTCGGGAAAAAAGTGGTAGATGGAAGTAGAAGGATATCATCTCTTCTCCCCCACCACCACGCCCACCCCACTGAAGTCTAGAAGCACCCCTAGAACAAGCCTCCTGAAGCTTTGCTCACTTCTCTGGGTGAGGCTTCTGGAATGATCTGGTCCCCAGGCGAAACCCAGCAGACCACAGGCTGACCAGCAGGGACTGGGACGGACCATATTTCCTCTTATGCAGGAAGAAGTTAAGATACTACCTAAAGTTCTTGAATCAATAAATAAATATTCAGGTTATTTTAAAATTTATAGATAATAATCAGCAGACTATAAAAAGACATTGGGAGGAGGGATGACTGCAGGCGATGGTATGAGTATTTTTCACAATTAATAAATATAGCTAAAGAATGATAAATCAAGAATTAATGGCTTAAATACATAACTTGGAGTTATTGAGTTTACAATTAAAAGTACTAAAATAGAAATAGTCAAAGAAGTTTCCTCTAAGGCAGAAAAGTTGTGACTTTTCATTGTCGCTTTCTATATGTTTGTGTTTATATATATAAAACTTACTTTGATTACTTTGATTATAATTTGAAATATCTCTTAAACAATGGATTTTACTTACCTTTGAATTTGTCTCAGTATCTACCTTACTTAAATGCCTTTGGGGTCATTAGTTTGCACAACGAAAGGAGTTCTAATTGCAATGAAAAGGGGAATTTTTAGTCAATCCCCAGTATTTTTTCCCTTCCAAATTTTTCTAATATTGGGTGCTGGATGAGTACTTATTAAACATTGCAGTTCAAATTCCTTGCCTGTTAATGTGAGACCCCTTTTTCATTCACTTAGCCTGGCTTGACTTCCTGCCACACATTTCTCCAGATGTCAGTGAAATAACCAAAGCTCAGGCACTTAAGAAGTCTTAGAAAACCACTAACACTCAGTTAGCCCTCAGATGAGGGGTCAGCAATTCAGCTCAGCGCGGACAGCATCTGAGAGCTCACTGAAGGGGATGTAGCAATAATCCTTAGGCAGCTATGCCTTCATCTTTGCTGTCAGAGGCTTTAAAGACAGCTCAGAGAGTTCATTATGCAAATGGAATTGTCTGGATCTACTGACAGTGAGGCTGAACTGGACAGACCCTGGGCATAAATATCCACTGGGTATACTCTCCCACATGCAAGGACACACTGGGCAGACCTTCTTAGATCTGGATATTTTATCCTGCAATTAAAAAAGGGCAAGAAAGTTCATCTTGAAGATGAGTCACAGATAACTTAGAAAATTGGACAGAATCAAAAAGCGGTGAATCTTCTTTATCATATCTAGTCTGTGATGAATACTGAATTTTCCTGAAGCTCTGAAATACTTTTCTTTATAAAATGTGCACACACACACACATAGTACACACACACATGCACATCTAAACTCATTGAACACTCAGTTCAAATATATACATATATCTGTACACATATTTGAGTTAGTATATATGCATATGTATATGTGTCAGATATGTATGTATGAGGGTGTTTGTGTGCGTGCATAGTGAGAGAGAGAAAGAGAGAGAACACGGTGCCCAGTAGCTGTGTGGAATGGGGCAAGTTACTCATAGATGTAAGTTTTCCTCCTTTTACAATGAAACTAATAAAAATGCCATCCTGAAAGAGTTTGGTCATAATGCTTTTGTAGGGCTCACATTAGACGATTTATGTGTAACATTAAGGTTATTTCTTAGATTTCCAAAAAAAAAAAATGTTTTAATGGATTAATTTGTAATTTCCTTTACTTTGGACACTACTTGGACATACTTGAAATGTATCTTGATTAAGAAATCTGCAATCTCTTGGGGTGCCTGGGTGGCTTAGTTGGTTAAGCGTCTGCTTTCAGCTCAGGTCATGATCTCCGAGTCCTGGGATTGAGGCCCATGTCGGGCTCCCTGCTCAGTGGGGAGTTTGCTTCTCCTCTGCCTCTCTCTCTCAAATAAATAAATTTTTAAAAATCTTAAGGAAAAAAAAGAAATCTGCCATCTCTCTACAAGTTCTCAGAATATATTTGTGTGTGAACAGAGGCACATTCAGTTGGGGTCTACCACCCTTAAAGCCATGCATCATCACTACTGTATGCCCAGTCACTATGGTTCAACAGCTTTATGTCATGGTCAGTAGTGGCTACGAAACATCTTACTTGTGCCAAGAAAGACTCCATGGGACTCTCTGCAAGACTGCCTGGGATCATTCCTCTCTTCATGTTACCTTAACTTGAGAGATAAAGATTAAGATATAAATTAAGTGCCAATTAAAACGAGATAATGTTGGTGTTTGTTACTTCAAATTGGCAAATCAATATTCACCATATGGAATATGTATTTATTTTATAATAATAATTGGCTGACATGGTGAACCTTGTGGCCTACATTGTTGGTGCTGGTATAAACTGATCAGCATATCTGAAACGGGGTGTCAGGTTCCTGAAAGACTTATACATGCTTATCCACTTTGTTAGAGCATTGACACTTTCAGGAATTTATCTTAGAGAAATAAATTATGTACAAGAAAGTTGTGCATCAAGAGTCACTATCTTGTTTTAAAATTTCAATGTAAATAACCTCTAATAGTAAAATAAAAGCTAAATAAATAAATCATAATATGTCCATAAATATAATAGGTAATGAAATATATATATATGATGTGGGAAAGTTTTATTGTATAATTTAAGTAAAATAAAATTATATAGAAATAGTAACTCTCATATCCCCTCAACAAACACACACACACAAATATAGGAAGAAAAGAATCTGCTTTAAAATATTAGCAGTAGATTAATGGCTGTTTTTATTTTCTTACGATTACTCTTCTTTTTTCCACGTATTATACAATGAGTATATATCACTTTTGTAATCAGAAAAGCAGCCATTATTTTATAAAATAACCATTTAAAACTTGATGTCTTTCTGTAGCATTTTGTTTTTATGTTTGTTTGCTTATTTCCAACATGAAATATCCTTTTAAGCAGAATGAAATGGGAAATGGTTGCTTTGAGCCAAGAAGGCACATATTAAAGGAAGTGAAAGCATGCAGTGTTCAAAAACTATTGACATTATTTCAGAAATTTATCCATCTTATTCTTTTAGCTAGTTTTTGTGGGTTTTTTTTTTTTTTTGAGAAGATTCAGAAATTAAATGACCTTTTCTAACTAAACACACGCAGATGTAGTCATAGGTAATGATGGTATTATGTGAGCTCAGTATGCACAGTAAACCTTAAAACGTGTATTCTACCAACTAGCAATTTTCCCAATCAGCTTTTATTTTGCTTTGCCACCATCCTTTAAAGCCCTAATCATGGAGGTGGCTCTGGAGAAAGAGCTGTGTTCCATTTGAACTCAGTGGGTAATGAATGTATAAGGACTAAATGTGCTTTTTGCTCTCTGTAGCACAGTGTGCTTTCCCTGTTTTGCAGTCATTTTCTCCAATTCAATGCAAATTCTTGTAATTTCTCCCAGAAATAAATGCTATTAAATGCCCTATTTCTCTTTCATATGTCAGAAACTTCCTACCCTTCCATCGGCTGTATTTTTGTCAAAATTAAAAATCTACATCATGAGCCAGAGACAGACAGACCCCAAGTAGCCAAAGTTGTCAGCTAGGAATACATGCAACTTCCAACATGAAGCACATAATTATTAATGTCAAGCAGACATCACTGTGTGATGGGCAGTGCTGTCCCTTTATGTCTCCAGCTCTACCTGGCTGGTTTCATGTGAGGTCTAAATAAATGGCTCACAAATTATCACACACACACATACACACAAAGACAAAACAAAAACCTAATTAAAACCAGTACCATGATCACGTCCTAAATTTCAATCCTGTTTGATTTATGATGGCTTAATTCAAACTCCATTTATAGAAGCAGAAAACAGCCTTCATTATAAAGGCCTATTGCTTGGTTGATCTCTATTTCAAACTGAGTAAAAATGGCACGATTGCTGGAGGCCATTCAAAGTGCCTTGGGATTTTTTTTTTTTTTAAGATAGTATGATCTATATTTGTCTAGGTGTTAATTGAATTAATATGTAGAGAAAGTCAAAGAAGAGCAAATTGAGAAAATCATCTAAAATTAGGAATAGTTATTTTTATAGTTATTTTAAAATGCTTGTTGATCTTTAAAAACGAATATAGCATGGCATGTCCCACTTGGGAAAATCTCACACAGGAATACATATAAAACATGCAAGCTGAGGTCTGGAATCACTGTGGTGATTGATTTCTCTAGGATAATGTCAACCAACATATAGTAGATTGAGGAGCAATAATCTGGTTAGGAAGTACAAAATCCTATGCAATAAAACCTAGAATACTACGTTGTTGATGCTGCTCATTTCAGAGGACATTAAAATGAATGAATGAAGGAAGGCTTTTTTAAACACTTGCATAAACTCATTTAATTCTTCTAACTCTGTATTACGCAGGAGAAAGCCAAGACATAAAGAAGTCAGGGGACTTAAGTGGCCTCACACAGATAGAAAACGGCGGCACTCAGCCTCAAAACCAGGCAATCCAGCTCCGGAGGCCGTTCTCCCAATCACTATACCCCGTCACCCCCTTTGCACTGTCTGATGGCTTTCCCATTGCCTTAGGGAGCCCAACAGTTCCTCCGAGGTGTTCAAAGCTGACTTCTGTGACTCTCCCAGGGAATATCTGCTTTGGTATGTTTAATAGAATGGAGTTCTGTGTGAAATTGCATTTAAAAAGAGAAGGGCATACAACATATTTTACAAAATAAGACTACACTTGATAAATCCCAAACCCCTTCAGGATCTTAAACTGCCTCAGAATCAATGCTACAGGCATTAATTTGCACCACAGATAGCTGTTTAGATGTACTACTAAATAAAGACTTTTTGGCTGATGCTGGGGTAGAGGTGGCGATGGGGAGTAGCGGAAGAATCCAAGATGCCTTTTTATGATGTGTTTTTTGTCCTTAACGATTGTTTTTGTAACATTTTATAGTGGGATGGTTGAGATATTTAAGGTCAGGCGAACTGAGGGAAGTTGGAAGACAGTTGTATTTATTGGCTCTGAAGCCAAATGTCAAGCACAAGGTATTGGGCCTGTTACGTCTCCCAGTTGAGGCTGACATGAATTTCTATGAAGAGAGAACAAGGCGAGACATTGTATACTACACCCTTTTAGGTCTGCTCGTGGATTTTCGTTTTCACC